GCGATGGAACAGCTAATACATCGGGATCGTAACCATGCCAGTGTAGTCATGTGGTCTATAGCAAATGAGCCACGTACCGGTCAATTGAATGCTGGATCATATTTTCAGTAAGTTCTCGAAATTTTAAGATTTTAGAAATAAATCTCAATTTTTATATGCTCGCATTGCTTAAAGGTACGTAGCGAACTACACAAGACAATTAGACAATACCAGACCAGTAACTGCCGCCATAGCCGTGAACTCTGCCGATGATAAAGCTGTAAGGATTTATTTCTAGTGTAAACATGACTTCATGTACATATTAACTGGTTCCGTTTATTTCTTCTTAAAGGCCAGATATTTAGACATAATTAGTTTTAACCGTTACAATGGTTGGTATAGCAATCCTGGACGCTTAGATATGATTACCAAGCGCATAATAGACGAAGCTACCAATTGGCATGAAAAACATAATAAACCAGTAATCATGTCGGAATATGGAGCTGATACGGTCGAGGGTTTACATCTGGTAAAAAAATTTGGTTAATTAAATGCAAAAAGAGAAAAATTCTTAGCTATTACTTTCGTAGCTACCCTCCTATGTGTGGTCAGAGGAATACCAAACAGAACTATTTTCCCGCCATTTTAGAGCTTTCGATATCTTGCGTAAGAAATCCTGGTTTATTGGTGAATTCGTATGGAATTTTGCCGACTTTAAAACTGCGCAGAGTTAGTCATTGGCTTTTTAAATGCACATTAGAACGTTTCTAATTTTCCAACGATTTCAGGTGTAACACGTGTGGGTGGTAATAAAAAAGGTGTATTTACACGCAGCCGCCAACCCAAAGCTGTGGCTCATCTCTTGCGTAAACGCTATTTTGCTTTGGGCCGTGAGCTTGATATGTGCGATTACACATCTATTGACTTACTTGTTTACATCACGAATAGCAGCCAAAACGGAGACTTTTAATTATTAGAAAAACATTTTCAGTCCGCCTCAGGTTTAAGGCGTATTCGTATAAGTCATTTTCATGGCTAAATGTAAAAAAGAATTTTTTTTTTTTTATTAAGCAAAATTATGCATTATGCCTTGTGGTGTAAACCATAAGATAGATTGTGTAACTTTTTATTGATTTTATTAAATTTTCAAACAATTTTCTTATTTCATTTTTGCGTCGTCTAAGCCTGCCGCAGGATTTATCATCAAGTATTTGCATGGTATGTAGGAACACTTATAAACATATATATACATACATACACATATATATTCTGGTTAAAGGTAAAAAAGGTATCAATTCAACCCCATCAGTCTTTCCGTTCGTTTGAAAGGTTGCGCAGAACTTGCTCTAAACTTCTTTCGCTTCATTTTCGAAAATGCGGCGGAATATATAAATCTTCTTATTAGTTTGTAGTATTGTTGAGAAAGTGTTTTAAAATGCCACCAAAAAAAGAAATATCATTGAGAAATTTTAAACAGATTAACAATTTGTTGCAACAGACAGTACTGCAAGGCTGAACATGCTCCAATCGGTTAACAATTCGATGCTGATCATGAATATCTATCTACCTCAAGCAGTCATTGCTGCTTGTTCCTATGTATGTATATAAACTCATTCACAGATAGATACAAAGTAAAATCCTTGAAACTGAGTTTAAAAAATTCATAATGAGTCAGCACGTTAACGTCGACTAAAGTCATGCGGTCAGGATAGCCTGTCTTCTCAGTGAAGCTTCAACATGGACTTGCTTTCAATTTAGTTAAGTCTTCTAAGCGAAACCACACTGTCCTAAGCCTCCAAAAAACGCACTTGATCGTTCACGTGTCCATATTTACAGTTGTCAAGTGCACGCGTTTCTCCAATCATTTGGTTCGATTGTCTATTTCTCTATAAGATCGTAATCAAGTTCACACGTAAGCACGGTTGCCACAATCATATGCTTCTGTTAGTAAAAAGAGTTTTATCTATGAGTTCCTTACAAAGTGTATTCTTAAACTCATAGGTGAACTATGTGTGTATGTAAACTTTATTGAGTGGAAAGATCAAAACGACTTTCTATCACTCGAGCCAAATCTTTCATAATCTTCTTTCATAAACATTTTTTTTAATTGCAGATGTCTGTCTATTGGTCGATTAGAATTATTTTTGTAACACGAATGGCTTAAGTCTTTTCTGGGAAAGTTTGTTGGTAATTATCAACATTTTCAGTATGAATTTATTACGTTTGTACGGATGCAAGCAACAACGAGAAGGAGTTGAGGTAAACCGATTGTTTATTACTTTCATTGACTCAGAATCATTTTCTGAAGCGATTTAAATATTTCTATCCGTCCGTCTGTCTGTTGCCGTTCCATGTATTTTTTATAAAATCTAAAAATGGGCATTTTTAAGGTATTCCGAGAAATTTTATCACATATTGGCCTAAGGACTTAGGCTAAAGAAAACAGATTGGATTGGATCAATTATACGGCCCTTGGCCATGTCGATTAGTTATGATCTTTTAATACTTGCAGGTAAAATATTTTGGAATTTCAATTTTAATTTCTATTTTATTTATTTATTTACAGTTATTTCAACAAACATTTCATGATCGCATGAGAGCAAATATAGAATTTTCAGAGTATAACTTATAATTCATTCAAAGTACATAAAGAGCTATGTAGAACACTAATTGAGGTAACAAATGTGGCCCATGTAACGTATTCAGCCAACTTATATAAGCGCATAAGAATATAATTCCAACAAAGAAATCTTATAAAAATCTTATAATAAACAGTTAAGGCAAAGCTTTCCAGTAGCTACGTAGCAGCCTGTACTAGACATAACTCGTCTAGTTTGCGAAACAAATTATTTAGCTAATCATCCATTTATGACATCGGCAGATTGCGCGTATTAAATATCACTAATTTGATGTTCTTTAACGAATCTGGTATTGAGTTTATATTATAGACAAGTAAATTATAAAAAAAGTTTTGCGAAGGAGTTCATAGTTGTATCTCCATTGGTCAAACTTTATGAATTTGAAATTTCTTGAAGAACGAGTAGGGACGTTATGCCTGGCGAGTCAATACCGCCCTGTATTAGCTTATCAAGAAAGGATATACCTAACATAAACCTTCGCTTCTTACGTAAGGAAAGGTCTATTAGCAGCAATCTATTTTTATAGGTCGGCGAAGAGACTACCGGATCCATTCTAAATTCCTCAACCCAAAAACCAGGAATTGCATCTGAACTGAAAGGAAACCGTACAAGAGAGGCATACTCTTGTATTGGCCACCACCAAAGTTAAGTATAACCTTCTTGTAACATGAGAATCATCAAATTCTATGGACCATCGTTTGGAAAAGCCATGAAAAATCCCTGCTCAATATGTAAATTAAAACGTGATCTCTGGTCGAATATTATCGCCAAGTCGAACAATATCTCTCTCTACATTTTCCAATTTTTTGTGAGTCTATTAAGTATTCCGAAGGTAATATATACTCCTCGCGAGTGAGAGCTTCTTATACCTTTTTAAATTGAACTGCATAAAGTTAAACAAGCACCATGCACCCAAATTGTCTACATCACGTTATGGACCGCTTGAGTGTGTTCCCTCATTGAAAGAAGAGAACAGTTTAATATCGAACTGAACTTAATCACCGCTGGACGATCAATGACATAATATTTAAGGTTATTTTAAAACTCTACGTAACTTTTTTCTTTTATAGAAGGCATCTTCAATCTATATAATCTATATAATTTTTTCATATGATCGTCAAACTAAATATGTCAAATTTTTTTTGGAACTACGCTCATTAATTTGCAATTTATAGTTGTTTGAGTGACAGTACTTTTGTTTTTGTAAAACAATGAAAAAATCTGAGCTTCGTGTGTAGTGTTACTAAAACAACTTTTATACGTAACCGACATCTGTATGTCATCTTAGGGCCTTATTTAGCGATGCACTATATATACACATATACACACAGGAATTTAAGCCCTTATTTTGCTGTTGAGGGACAACAACAACGCTTTCATTCAAAATAGACATTTTTACAAGGTCCCTGATATGTCTATAAATTATGCGGAAGATTTCAAAGAAATAGAGTGCGCATAAAAGTTATTATCCTTTCTTTCCTCTTGTAGCACGCAAGGGATATAGAAATTCAATCACACTTCCCGATTTAAGTCTGATAGCATTTCCGGTGGCAAACTTCGCTTTTTTCCCGCTTAGTAATTTCAATGAAATAGTTTAGATGGCAATACGGCCATCACTTTTAATATAAAATTCAAAATGATTTTATTATTTGAAAAATGTAAACAAACGCCAGTGAATAGATGTAATAACAATAGATAGATATTCGTAGATATCAAATGTATAGATAGCTGTAGATAATATTAGATATCAACTATGTATTTAGATATAAATATCTATGTATATATATATATATATATATATATCTTTATCTTCAGCGGTAGATATTCTCATTTAGATATCTATGGAACACAATTGAACACAATTCAAAACAATAACTGTAGATACATTTATAGATACAATTGTATCTATAAAATATAATACGATAGATAATAATATACAAATCTATCTATAGTTGTTGTTGTTGTTTTGAATAATAAACAAATATGGCAACAATGTTACGCGAATATTGCATAAAAGCTTTTCCATGACAACAAACTTTTCAAAGTAACAACATAACTACTCGCTGTTTGGAAAACAGCTTGATAAGCTCTTTATCGCATTCATGCTCTAATGTATAATTATGGGAAAAAAATAACAGATAAATTCAAATTTTCGATGTTTCGAAAGTAAACAAAATTTGCATTCAAAAAGCAAAGTATTACAACATATGCTTTCTAACGTAAACAAAACCTCATTTATATGCAAAATAAAATTTCTTATGTAGTAATATGAAGAAAGAAGAAAAAAAAAAATAAAATAAAAAGCGCGCCTTTCAGACACAAACAGCATTTATAATGGTGCTTTCGTTGCGAATCAGTTGGTCGTGGTTAATGGCAGTGTACGGTCGTTCGTTGTATTGACACATAGAAAAAGGTTAATAAAAGTTCCGGTGAAGACGGTATGAGTGCGTTAGGTATGCGTGCCAGTGCTTGTTAAGCGTGGCTTTGAGTACAATATAATTGATTTTATTTGTTGATTTTATATAAAAGTGAAATAAATATTTGAAATAATAGTTAAATTAAAATAATTAACGAAAGGGCAAAAACCGTTTCGCTCGTGACCATCGTTAAACGTAAAATATTTTTTTGAATAATTTCTTTCATTTTTTACAATTTCCAAGCACAGGTAATTATTGAATTTTCTATTTTATGATTTTAATTCTTTCTCTCTATATGTATAAATACATATATATATATATATATATATATAT